TGTAATACCAAATTGTTCAATAAAGACCGAGGCCAGGCCTCACTCTAAAAAAAAAAAAAAAAAAAAAAAAAAAAAAAAAAATTTTTTTTTTTAGTATTAAGATGACTTCTTTGGTCTTTTGACTTTTATTAATCACTTATCAATATTGTGATTCAATGAACCACTACAGGAGAGTGTACAATTGGCTACATGTATAAATTTTTTATATTACTTGTTTAAGAAGTCTGTCTGAAGGTTTCCTACCAATTGCCATACCTAACACTTCTGCTTGGATGTTTTACTTTAAACCCTCTGAACCTGTAACCTATGTTAACATTACTGGGTCATATCCAGATGCCCAGATTATCATCTCAACCTTAGAACTAATTTATTCTTGAGGTAAACCTCCTAGGGCCTTCTGTATCTATTTTTATAGCTAACTTAGATATCGCTATGGCAGAACCAACACTTGCAATCAGGACTAACCATTAAATTACTATGCCCTTGTAGAGTTCACTTAGACCTCAGCATTTACTTCACAGTATAACCCCAGTACTTTAGTATACCTCTATCTTTTCCTTTGCCTTTTTACTAAACTTCCAATCCAGATAGCTTGTGTAGAACTATGACTAGTCCATCAGTATATCAGATTGGCCCAATATTCTGTTCTTCTAGTTCATTCTAGTGACCTAGTTGGTAGTATTTCTAAGACTCCCAACTCAAAGTTTCTTGCCTGTCTGGCTACTATAACTGGGTACTAGCCTTGGTATCTGTTTCTTTAGGCTAGCCTTTATAGTAGAGCCATTGAAGATCCAGCTACCTCTCTACTTAGGTCTTTCCAATTAAACTTCCTGTTATTCAATTTTAATAGATTTACATAGCCACAAGGACTTATCTAGTGTTTGCACTACCTGATTTGTCAGTTTGCATTTTTCTGTATAACTCCAACATTGCACAGATGCTCTATGACCTGCCAGTCATGCTGGTGTGACTGCCATTACAGATATTCTAACCTAATCATTAGTAACAGTTGCCATAATACGAATATTACATATTGAACACCTAACCTACCACTTGGGAGGTTGACAACCTGACCACTTCAGTAGGTCGCCACATCCCTCTATTGACATTATTTTATGACAGATTATACTAATATCAATATTTATTAAGTAAATTATTATTAGTATCAGTTTATTTCATTTTTGAATTAGTATGATTTCTAAACCACATATAACAACTTAGTAATAATAAATGATTATATAAAAAAATAACTTGTAATATCTAAACTATAATTAAAATCAAAACAATACCAAATTTCATAAATTGCATGAATATGGATCCACAGTACTGCTTTGCGTTTTTTGGCATTTTTGATGTTATTTGCATTAATTATTTCTTTTACTGAGGTTGGAGGATTCTTCATTTCATTTCGTTTACTAGTTTTGCATTTAAGTGCAAAGTGTTATATAGTTTGGGTAATGTATGAGCAGCTTAGACAGCTATTATTAGAGTTTTGTGCAAAGTAAGTAGTCTGATAACCTAAGGGTAGGGCTCTATGCATTAGTCTCCAAAAAAATGTTCTTTTTATTGTTCTGAATATTTTCAAGTTTTCATCCATTCATATGTATTATCTAACTAGATTTCTTGGCTTGGTATACTATTCTGTGTTGTAGTATATGTTTCATTTCGAAGAAGTTCAGTCATAGTTTTGACTGAGTAGTTGCTTGCTGTCATCAATTTTATTTTGATATTATCTGAGGTTTAGGGCCAGGTGTTGTTCTCTGTAATCAATCCTTCTGCTCTTTTTCAAGCTGTTAGATAGGGTTTTCATCTTTCTGGCCACCCTTTTAGCTTAATGTTATTTTGGTTTAGAGCAGCTTTGGGTGTTATTCCTCTTTTGTTTTGAAGATTGATAGTGATTAGTTCTCTTTCCACATTTGACCAAAAGCTATTTCCAGTTAGTAGCCTTGTCCAAATTGATAATAGTCTTGTGTCAAGTAGATCTTTTAGAATAGGAGCTTTTAGGCTTTTTAGCTTTTCATCAGTTTGAAATATTGAGTAGTGTGGAAGCATTTTGGATTTATTTTTGATTCATTTAGTGAGAATTGAGCCTATTTCATTAAGTTGTTTTCTGCTTGAAAGTAGTAGATAAGCTAGATACCAGAGATCTTTGATATAAGTAAGGTTTTTGTAACCAGAATTTTTCCTTTAAAAGAAAGATTTCTTGTAGAGAGATGACAATCTTTTTCTTGATTTTGTTTGTTATCTTATGCTATAGATCTTTTGCTGGCTTTCCTTCAATGTTAGGTTCATAGCCTAGAATGGTAATTGTGCCATCTTGTTCTTTAGTTTAAAAGTTTTCCATTTCTTGAAGTTGTATTCTTTGAGCATTTTTTGTAAGAGGTATTAGTATCAATTTGTTTTTATTGATTCTTGCATTAGATGCCTTTTTATACTTCTGAGCTAGAAGCATAAAGTTGTTCCAGTCTGAAGCAGTGCTAAAGCCTAGTGTTAGATCATCTGCATAGGCTGCTATCTTGAAAGACTTTCCTTTAATTTGAATTCCAAACAGGCTTTTGTTGAGAGCTTGAAGAAAGAGATTAAAGGCTAAAACGTATAAGAGAGAAGAGAGAGGATCATCCTGTCTGACTCCTTATTCTACTTTAAAAGGTTTTGAGGTTTTACTAGCATCTCTGATATGAGCTTGCTGTGAGGCAAATAATGTATGAATTACTTGTCGGAATTTATCATCAAAATTCATTTCTTTTAGAACTAGCTGTAGATAGGAATGATTAACTCTGTCAAAGGCTTTTTGTTAATCAAGAAGCAATAGCCAGTGTTGTTTGGATTGGTCTACTTGATTTCTCATAACTGTTAAGATATCAAGAGTTGTATCAGTTATAGATCTGCCTGCAATAAATGCTTATTGTTCTGGCCCAATCAGTTGGTTGCATATTGGGTTGAGATGATTTGCTAAATTTTTATGAATATTTTAGCATTACTGTTGACTAAGGAGATGGGTCTCCAGTTGTTAATATCTTTCAAGTTATCTAACTTTTGGGAATAAGAGTAATTATACTTTTGTTTCATAAGTGTGGCATGCAGCCTGTGTCTATAACATAGTTGAAAAGTGTCAATAAAAATGGGAGTATTTCTTCTTTTGTATTCTTGTAGAATTTGTAAGTTAATCCATCTGACCCAGGAGTTTTGTTGTTGGGCAAGGAATCGATTATCATGCTAATTTCTTCTTTACTAATGTGTTTTGTTAGCTGATAGTTTTGTGTCTGGTTAACTAAAGGGAGGTCTTTTGTTAATTCTTTGGCAGCTTTTATATCAAATTTCTCTGTTTTGTATATTGTTTGGTATTTGACTCTAATGTTAACTAGTACATTGGTGGAGTTCTGTAGAACTGTATTATTAGGTATTTCTATCTCTGCTGTGCAGAAGGTTGTGTGTTTAGCTTTGTAGAGGAAGTAGAAATATTTTGTAGACTTTTTTCCTTTTTCTATCCATTTAGTATTTGACTGAATCTGTCTCTTCTAAATCAGAATTATTGGCAATTTGGTTGTTTAGTTTGCATAGTTTTTTGTATAATAATTGTATTTTTCTTTCTGATGCTGTGTTTGGTTTAAAAGCTCCAACAATTGATTGTAATATACATTTGTGGAGATCCCAGTTTTGCACTTCTTTTATCTTTTATAATTTCAGCTCTCAGTTCTAAGTTATACCAATATTCTTTTTTGAATCTCCAAAGTGGTGTATGGGTATGAATTATTTTTGCCTAAAATTGTACTTTCTACTAGAAGATGGTCTGAATTATCTGGTCTAGTAGTAGTTTCAAAGTTGAGGTGGTCAGATTCGATTTTGACAAATATGTAGTCTAATTGAGTGGCTATTAATTGATTGTTTTGAGTGTTTTGGTAAAAGGTTAAAAAGGGGTTGCTCTTTGAAAAACTTGCTGTGTCTATATAGTCTTTTATGAGCTCTCTTAGCAGTGTTCTAGAAGGATTATTTTGTGAAGGTGCTTGACTAATGCAGTTAATCTAAGGATCCAAATTGGTGTTAAAATCCTCTGCTATGATAGTAATAGCATTGTTATCATTAATTGGTATCTAGTTGTTGAAGAATTGACATCTATCATTCCAACTAGGGGGTGCATAGACATTTGTAAGTAGATAAAGTTTATTTCTAAAGATTACTTTTGCTGATATCACTCTGTTATTGTGTGAGATTTTGGAGTTCTTTAGTTTAATATTTAGTTTTCCAATTAGAATACCTGTTTTGAAAGACCAAATTGAGTCATAATTCCATTGTTGTGCTAGAAACTTTCTTGTTGCAGGATCGTTTAGATTTGTTTCTTGGATAAATATTATATCTAACTTATAAGACTTTAAAAGTGTTAGAGTTTTTTGAGCCTTAACTCTATTGTTAAGACCTTTGACATTCAGTATGGCAATTTTAATCATGAGATATAAAGAGATATGTTGGCTATACGACAGTTTGTTCTGAGTGAGAATAATTAACTAGTAGGAAGAGAAGTCTGTTCAGACATTCTTTGTTTTACTCTTATTACTTTTCTCATTTGTTGTAAGAGTTTTCTTCTTGTATTCTTTTTGGTTGTTCTTTTTTGAAGTAACCAAAGTAAATTCTTTCTCTTTAGTTTTGTTTTCTTTGTTACAGTCTAATGGTTTCATTGTTATATCTTGGTCATAGTTTGTAGCAGGTGTTTCATTATTTGTGTTCTTGTGATTAGCTTCTATTGAAAGTAAACCATGTTTTGAAATAGGGATACTAGTTGTGTTTTCCTCAAAGGTTAAGTCCTGATCATCTATAGTATTGATTGAGTTGTTTTTTTTTAGATGATTAAAATTTGGTATATTAGTATTTAGTCCATCTTGTTCTGTGACTATATCTGAGATATATGGGTTTTCTGAACTGTAGAATTTCTTTTGTTCTTTTTGTAACTGTCTTAGTTTCATTGAAGCTCTAAGTTCTGCACATTCTTTTTTTAATATGTCCTGTTTTTTCACAGTAATAACATATTTTTGGAGCCTCCTTCCAGTCTGTAGTGACTTTGTGGTCATCAACATGCATGTGTCTAGGTAGTCTGGCCATCAGGTTTGGATCATTTGATTTTCAAAAGTTACAATCCATTGGTCAGAGCATATTGGGGTTTCTTTATATAGAAGTGGTTTTATAGAGGCAATAGTGCTGATATTCTGGAAAGCTTCCTTAATCTGTTCATTGATAACTTCTTTATTGCCCATTGGTGTGTTCTTCAATTTAACTGAAAGGAATAT